TCTCGACGAATCCGATGAACGATGGGCTGCCCATATTGAAGAATTCGACTACTTAATAATCTCCGATGGCCATTGGTTCGACCGTCCGTCGGTTTTTTACGAAAATCATCAGATTGTAGGCTGCCATTATTGTCTTATTGATAATGTCGTGGACTTGACAAAGTTCTACGGGTATCGGAAGGCTTTTAGGACTACTTTTAGAACAATTAATAGCTTAGAAAACTTCAAAGGCGTGACGATTTTAAGAACTTTTGCACCATCACACTTTGAGAACGGAGTGTGGAACGAAGGTGGGAATTGTGTGAGGACAAAGCCGTTCCGGAGCAATCAGACGACATTGGGTGGCGATAGCATGGAGTTTTATATGATTCAGATCGAAGAATTTCAGACCGCTCAAAGAGAAGGAAGGCGGAAAGGGAAGAGATACCGGTTGATGGATACGACACAAGCATCATTGTTGAGACCAGACGGGCATCCGAGCCGATACGGGCATTGGCCTCATGAAAACGTGACATTGTACAATGATTGTGTGCATTGGTGCTTGCCTGGTCCGTTGATACTTGGAATGATTTCTTGCTTCAAATATTGAAGATGGAAGGATAAATCATACCAAGAGAGCTTCTTCGGATGACAAAATAACGAGATCTCAATAAAAAAATTGTTATTATTTTGTTTCTAATTGTTTATTGTATGATTAGTAATTCTTTTGTTAATTCTACATCTGATTGATAATGTATGCAAGTCGGAACTAATTCAAGTAAGAATAAAATTTGGGGTGAACTACTATGTTAGTCACCCAGCTATATATGTTTTCTATTTTAATCACCAAATTAAATTTGACATTCTCGTAGCTGAGCTTAAGCAGGAGGACACCTGTTCAGGGCTTCCTTCTACCTAGGACCCAAATTATAAGATCCATATATAATCAAAAAAATAATTATCTATTTAGTCACTAATTATTATTTATTTCTGTTTGGTTCATCTAATTATTTTTTCAAATCATACTTTACGTTATTTTTTCTTTTATCCACCATTAAAAATTAACGACCATGCTAATATGATTTTTAGTTATTTTTCATTTTACTTAATTATTCTTTTATGTTTTTTTTGACACATGGAGAAGGTTGAAATGAACATGAACCCTCTTAAAATCATACTCTGTTTTAAAGCGATTCACAATTTTAAAGATGATCTTATAAATCATGTTACATAAGCTAATGAGCCGAAAATCTGTAACTGTGTAGGTATTTTCAATTTCGGAATGAGCACAATATGTTTGATTATCGAATCCATATCAGCCTGGCCGTGGAGCACTTCTAAGGAGAAGCGAGTGACATTGGGTTCTACATTAGCCAAAACATTTAACTAAAATTTATTACCAAATTTTTGCATTATCCATTCAATATATGGTTGTTCAAAATTTTAAATTTTATGATGAAATATCTCGTTGGCTTTTATTTATGGATTTATACAAGAGTTTGTTCGATACAAACAACAAACAAAAAAGCAGGGGAAAGCAACAAAACCAATAAAAAGCATTCGGAATCATTCACTGTGATAAGCTTTTAATTATCATTCATCATATTGATTTGACAAATTCGTGTTTAAATCATTATCACCAGTTAGCTAGTTGATGCATGATGAACTGTCATTGTTCATCGTATACTCAAATGAAATTTATTGCATTTTTCAAGCTCTCCCCCCAAATGAATTCAACCTCATTTCAGTTTCCCAATGGAAAACACACTCAACAAAACAGTTTCCATCAACTGTTTCATCTTAAACCCTTTCACTCATCTCATCAGCTCGGTCACTTTAAGCATTCTGAAAAGTTCCCATTCGCCACTGCCACTTCCCAGAAGCTTAGACAAAAACTGTGATGTTTTTAAGGGAAATGGGAGCCTTATCCACAAGGTCTTATTACAGTAACAAAACTTGTCGGCTGATGGTCGACCAGCAGAATTGCATGAAGTTTGGGAGACCGGACACAGAGTTCATGAAATGGAGATGGAAACCAGATGAGTGTGAGTTGCCTCTGTTTGATGCAGCTCGGTTCTTGGAGATTGTGAGAGGGAAATATATGGCTTTTGTTGGGGATTCAGTAGCAAGGAACCAGATGGAATCATTACTGTGCCTCTTGGCTCATGGTAAGTTTTAACCATTTTTGCACATAACTAAAATTCGACTTCTGATCTGGTGCTAAATTGAATTATGGAATCGAGAATATAGAGAATTCGATCGGTTCCATTTTCGGTTCGGGTTTTTGTTCTTGCTCTAAAGAAATGGAAAATTTTTGGAGTATGCTCATGTTAGATATTTACATAGTGACAGCTGAACTTTGACGTATGCTTTTGCTGCTTTGCATGAGTACATTTCAGGAAGCTTATCCGGAGGATATAACTCAAAAAATTTCAGCAGACAAAAACTATTTCAAGCGTTGGTTCTATGCTGATTACAACTTCACCTTGGCAGCATTTTGGTCACCATTTTTGGTTAAATCCGGAGCTCCAGACATCAATGGCCTCATCAACGTTTACCTCGATGAACCCGATGAAGCATGGGCAAATGAGATTGAAAAATTCAACTATGTGATCGTGTCGGTCGGGCAATGGTTTTTCCGGCCACTGCTATTCCACGAGAACAGTCAACTCATCGGATGCCATATCTGTAATCAAAACAACGTCACAAGCATTTCCAGGTACTATGCATACAAGATGGCCTTCAACACCGCTTTCAAAACTCTTCTTAGCCTTAAAAACTACACAGGTATCACGTTTTACGGACCTTTTTGGCGTCACACTTGAGAACGGAGATTGGGATAAAGGAGGAAACTGTGGAAGAACGAGGCCTTTTACAAGCAATGAAATGAAGCTGCAAGAGTTCAACATGGAGTTTTACTCGGTTCAAGTAGAGGAACTGAGAAAAGCAGAGGAAAAAGGGAAGAATGGGTTAAGGTTCGAAGTGATAAACGCTACTGAAATCATGTGGCTGAGACCAGATGGACATCCAAATGGTTATGGACACTCAATGCATAAGAATGCACCAGTCTATGATTGTGTTCATTGGTGTTTGCCAGGACCCATGATACATTGAACGAGTTTTTGCTCTATTTGTTGAAGAAGGAAGTCCTAAAGTTGAAACAAGTTCATGAGAAATGCCTGATCAAAATTCCGTTCGAATTATTTGAAAGATATATATAAGTCAGCAGGAACGAGTATGATAGAATGTGTCTTGTTTATCTCGACAAAATGGGCGGAATGGCTATTTCGATTCCAAAATTATTTACGATGTTCAATATCTTATCGATGGCTTCTCTAGCATTAACGGGCATGAGTGGTTTTGTAGCAGAATTGATAAGTCTTTGTTGGAATAATTACCAGCCAAAAATACTAATTACTTTCGTAATGGCAATTGGAATGGATATTATGATTATGTTCAATGTTTGACTGGCGTCTTCATGATTCGAACTCATATTCTCTTTTGGGAGTGCATCCAACACTTTAATCAAGATATGATGATGAACCATTGAATCAATCATTAAGCCAATAACATAATAACTATGGGGGGAAATTAAACTTGGAAAGATGCAATGTACTTGACAATGTGCTCTATACACAAAAATTTCAAGTAAAACAGGGTATTATATTACAATCGGAAAGAATACATCTTTTTTGTATGCGGAAAAACATTACAATAACGATTAGAGTATCCAGATGTTGTACTTCAAAACGAAATCCTGATGAAGACCACAATGTGCAAACTAAGATGTAGAGCACGAAAGCCGACCTGAGTAGCATGAGCCTCTGCTGATTCTCGCTCCTTCCGCCGGTGTAATAAGGAAGCTTGGGATGATAATCAGCAGAAAAATCTGAGGAAGATCCCTTATCGGAAGAACCTCTTCGAATCGATTTCGGGCAGCATTTCCCTCAGCATTACTACTATCTAGCTTTGTCCACAAACCGCTCAAATTCTCCAGTTCCTTCTCTTTCAAATGAATTTCACCTACAAGGCCTTCTGCTTGTGCCTAAAACAACATTTAAAATGTTCCTTATGAAAATGACATCATAAAAGTTTATACCAACGCCTAAGCACCTTTTCTTTTCAGACAATGACAAAAAGGAAAATTTTAACTTGATTGAGAATACATATTATAAGGGAAAGCGATAAAAAAAACCCATAAATCCAATTCCAAAGTACCTCGGTTAAAACAGCTTTAATACATATGATAAAATGCGAAGAGAACGACATCTAAAACTGCTTTTTCTTTTGGACAATCAGAATAGAGAAGTTAACTTTCAAGGAGAACATATTAAGAGAAAGCTGATCAAACCCAAAATTTTCAATTTCAAAGCACCACTTTTTCCCCAATAACCAAAGCACCTCAGGTCCTCATTATGATCATGAAGTACAAGCAGCACATTTGGGGTATGCGATTGATGGCATGAGAGCTTGAAGTGAATCTCAGGAGTAACATTATTATGCATATAGTGCAATCCGCTTTAAATTTTGTAGGATAAATTAAATAACTAACCTGCTTTGCAGCTAGTTGCTCAATTAGGATGTGAAGCTTTGAGCTGCATGACAGAAAATGATTAATGAAAATCTGTTACTCGAATTCGTGTGTGAATGTCTGATATGTGTATGTATATGTCACATGTATGTGTCTAACACATGTATATTTATTTTGTTCCAAGTTTTTTCATATATTTGGAGGGTCCTTGAATGATCCATCCACGTATATCAGCAACACTATGACACCGTTATACTCTCTTTTTTCTTTTTGCCTGCCAATATCCAATCAAAGATCTGATTTTAATTTTCATGAGGAACATCAAAGTTTATCCTTTGAAAAACCAGAAAGTAACAGTTAAAGGGGGAGGGGGGAAATATAATAACAAAAAGCAAAGACCATATTTAACAACAAATTTATGGCATGCTGAAACAAGTGATGATTGAAGAATGTCATGATACAACAGTTATGTCTCACTGACATTTATAGGCAGTGAGCTCATAAAACAAGCTCTAAAAGATGGTTTAGGATGCAAGGTACCTGGAGAAGGCTGCCTCAATGATTTATTCTGAATATTTTCACATTTATTCTCTAAATCTTTAACTGTCTCTTCAATTGAGCTCTGAAAATATTATGAACTTTCATCAGCAAAATAAAAGCCACAGCAGCAGCAGCAACTCAACCAAAGTAATTATCTGAGAAGAGATAAAATAAACCAATTCTTTTTCTTCTTCTCTAATTGTCTAGCAAAGCAGATTTTTTTGAAGCTTCAGCATTTGATTCATCTTCAGCACTGTGGATTCAACAACCGCGGCAGCCGATTTTTAGAATGGGTGGCATCCAAGCCTCTGCATTTTCCAGTTCAGCTCTCAGATTTTTCTCGATTTCATTCATCTCCTATAAGAAAATGTAGAGGTCTAAGATGTCATAAGAAAAAGAAAACCTGGAGACTGCATGTTAGTTGAGGTATAAATATCAATTATTTTATTTAATGGGTTTAATTGTAACTTTTATGTAGATTTGAGACATTTCAAAATATTTTTAGGTTATTTCCTTTCTAAGGTTTTAGGCTCATATTCCGGTATTCTTCATGTTATTGGAATTTTAGGTTATACATACCTATATTATTTTTAGTTTTAAGGGAGCTTGGATTTATAAATTATGATATTTTCTGGACATTTGGGTATTCAGTATCGATATTGAACATTTGGATTATTTTAGTGTTTTTAAGTTTTAAAACATTTGTTCTGCATCACAAATGACTCTGGCTTCATTTTCATCAGAATTACTTCTAAAGCCATGCATAGCTTTGCATACGAAAACTTGAACTGGTTTGGATTTCAAATTGAGTATACAAGCATCACTAGAACTCGGAAAACTTTAAAAACTCTGATTTACCATGATTATAGAGAAACTACAATATTAGAATAAAGGTATCAAGTATAATTTGAATAAATATAGCAGACATGAAGAAGCATAAAGAACAAGTTTTGGGACCTTTGGTCTGACCTTTAACTTTGAATAAAGCATTCTGCTTCCTGCACTTTCTCCTGTATTTTACTCTCACAATCTGATATAGCCTTTCATAAGCGCGTTTCTTGTTGCAATGCCTCCTCTCGCAATTGGGCCTGATCATAAGAAGAGCCAAACGGTTTAATCTGGTATTCTGATGGGGAAAAAAACCACTCCCATGGATCAAAACAAAACCGAAAAACAAATATAGCCTTAACAGATGGTATCGAATCAAAATCATTTTTTTCACTCCTATGTGCATTATTCCCAGTCTGAGATAAGATCACAACCTAAGAACTGAATTTCAAAACTGCAGCCTTTATTCTAAATTATTAGATGTCACAACTCTAAGCTACCATCAAGTTACACCGAAAGCCAGAAAAAGATTTGCTACAAAGCAGCATCAATTTTGCACAAATAAATTAACCAAAAACGTCAGAGAAAATTATTGTACATAACAATTAGACCAATTTCGGGATAAAATAAAGGAAACAAATTGCACAGATAAAGGAACATGCTTTAGAAGAGAACTTTAGAAACTGTCAATATCTACACCCACGAAAATGAAACCATAAAAAAATCACCATACATGTTTAAACAAAACAATTCCAATCGAAACACAAATGAAAGGGTCTATACTCGACTCAACTACGAGTGCCGAACAGTGTCTCAATATGCAATGCTCGAGGATACCAGACCAGTATTCCAAGAAAATTAGAAAAATGAATTTCGAACAACGGACAGAAAATGCAAGAAAAAAGCTCGAAGAATCAGAACCTAATAAAATAATAAGTAGCCGGAGAAGAACTCAATTGAAAAAATAAATATCAGATAAGAAATTGAAATAAATAGAAATGGAAATAAAAATCCAAATCTCAAAAACCGAAAGAAAAATACCTGCTCACTAGTAGAAGAGTGAGCGTTGAGTTGGAGAGCAAGGCATCATTGGAAGCGAGGGAATGGGCGTGAGATGAGGGAGGCGTTGGGAGATGTCAGGAGGAGGCAACCTGAGACGTAGATCTAGGATCATATGGGTGAGAGAGACGCCTTTCGATCCATTCTTGCACGTAATCTGCTGCTCCGGGGAGAAAATTAATGGGATATTGTGAAATCATCGTCTTGGTTGTTGCCACCGTGACCTACTACATCAGCCGCCCATGCTAACGTCCGCCATATTTCTTTCGTTCCCCAAGTCTCAAAGCCTCAAAGCTTTGGATCTTCAGGCTTTCAGGTTTGGGACTTCGGTTCTCGTCGCAATTCTTTTGTACTATATTTGTCAGGTTTTCCCTAAATAGCCTTAGGGGTGTTTGGTTTAGGAGGGTGGGTTCTCATGTTTGGTTGGTCGGGAATCTTATTCTTGGTAATGTTTTATTATCAATAGTAGATTTTTTGAGGTATATTACCGGGAATGTCATTACTTCTTTTCCCTTAGGTATTGTAATATTACCGGCGTTTTGGACTAAAATGCCCTTAAATTTTTATTTTTTTTCAAAAATATCATTCTTCTGTCATTGAATAATAAAAATTCTACGAATGTTAAATTACAAATATATCCTTAAATTATTTTATATTTACAAAAAAAATGTCTATAATTAAAATTTTATATGAAGTTCAGGGTTAAAAAAATTCTACCATTTCATTAAACCTTTTTTATATTTTTAATTTTATAAAAAAAAATTATATAAATATTATGAATTTAATTTTTTAAAGAATATATATAAATATTTACAATTTGTAATATTATACAAATATATAATAAGGACAATTTGGTCAAATATACATTCCAATAATCTTTTATTCCTTTAACCAAACACGGTAATCTTACATTCCTGCTAAACCAACCAAACACAAAATACAACATTCTCAGTGATCCTATTCCCTGGTAATCTTTTATTCCCACTGGTAATCTTACATTCCGTGAATCAAACGCACCCTTAATGAAATAAGTGACTACATATAGTCTAAGTTAACTTTAAATGATTTTTGAATTTTTCTTTAAAAATAAGTTTTTAATATTTGTTTTGGTTAAAAAGTACTTAATATTTTCTTTGTTACGCTTTTAGGTGTTTATGTCGTAACGGCAGTTAAAAAGATTATTAATTGACACATGTCTCGTTTATATTTTAAATATATATATATATATATATAAAAAAAAACTTACGAATATTATTAATTTAAAAAATTCCATTTTTTCTAAAATTACAAAAAGACCCTAAAATACTCTAAACCTCAAATACTCAACCCTAAAATCCTTAATCTTTCTCATCGCCGGTCGAAACTCTCATGTTGGTAACCAGTTGAAACTCCAGATGAATTCCAACGATTGTCAGACGGGCGAACCCCGATGAAAGCTTGGGGTTTCGGGCATTCAGAATTTACTCATTCATGCTTCATCGGTCAATCGGTAGCTTAGGGTTTTAGTCGATCACCAATGTAAGAGTTTTGGCCAACAGTGGCAACAGTAATGGCCGATGATAAGAAAAATTATGAATTTTAGAGTTTGTGTATTTGGGGTTTATTTTGGGTCTTCTGTAATTTTAGGGAAAATGGATTTTTTTAAATAAAAAATATTAGTTTTAAAAAAATAGAAAAATATAAATATGACATGTGTCACTTAAAGGTTTTTTTAATGGTGTAATAGCGTAGACAACTAAAAGTGTAACATTGAAAACTTTAAACACTTATTTTTAGCACACAAAAAAACTCTTTAGGTACCTAAAGTTAACTAAGTGTATAGTTTGGACACTTATTTTTGTGTTAAGCCCCCTAAATATATAGCATTAATATATATCAAAAGTCACTATAGTTATTTTTATGGTCTAAATATAAAAAAAAATGCTCAAATCATGTATATTTTTTTTATGTAAGTGTATATTTTTCGATCAAATTTGGTGTTTAATGTTTCCAAGTTTATCTTTTAGTGTCTATATCGTAAAAGTTATTAAAAAATTCATTAAAAATCAATCAATCAGTATTTAACACATTACCTTACTTCCTATTGTCTTTACTTTTTTTAAAAAAATAAATTTCATAATTATTTAAAAAAAGCTTCAACTTTTCTTATTTTTGAAAAAATACCTCAAGATCTTCAATTCCGACATCAATCACTACCGCCATCGGCGATCATCGACTCATCCGTTGGTCACCAGCTCGTTGACCACCCGTCAACCACTCACCCATCGATTGGGATTGACGTGTGTTAGGATTTAGGGGTTTATGAGTTGGATTTAGATATTTGTGTTTAGGGATTTTTGGGGTTTGAAGTTACGATTGACCGTCGGTGACATGTGGGTAGGCGTGGACGGGTAGGTAGGTGGCTGGTGGGGGCGAGAACGACTGTAAACAGCTGACGGTTGGGTGAATGCTTTGTGAGTAAGGATTTTGGGATTTTTTTAATATTTTAGAAATATCTTGACGTTTTTTGAAAAATAATAATAATTTTAAGTCTTTTTCAAATAATTTAAAAAAATTATAACATGATACCTGTCGCATTTTGAGTGGTTTATGGAAATTTTTTAACGTTAGTTACTGCCAAGGCATCAAAATGAAAATGTTGAAAACGTTAGGCACCTAAATTGACCAAAAATAGTTTAAGCACCTAAATGGGAAAATATATATAGTTTATGCGCTCTTTTTATATTAAGGTTTTTTTTTATAATTTAGGTTGGTTAGTATATAATTATTTGAACTCGAATTTTTTAAGTAGAATAATATTTCTTTTTATCACTAATGTTATTTAGTAGATTTGACATGATATTTTAAAATAATTAAGATTTTATATAGGAAAAAATCCTAAATTATATCATTTGTTAACTTTAGGCATATTATGTGTTCTCTCAAAATATGTGTCTAATCTTTTGGACGTCACTCTTTTAAGTGTCTACATCATAACAACTGTTAAAAAAATCGTTATCTGACATATGTTGCATTTATAATTTTTAAAAATTTTATTTTTAAAAGCTCAAATTTCTCTAAAATTTGAAAAAAAACACACACACACTCCAAAATCCTTAAAAACACATAAAATCCTTAATTTCAATCATATTAATATCGTTGGTCGTTTGTTGATCATTTAAATCCCTACAACCTGTCAAATTCTAAATATCTAAATCCCTAATTAATATTATCGATGTTTATCACCATCATCGTCGACCGACTAAAACCCCAATCTCACTTGTCGACCAACAATCTAAATATTTAAATATCTAATACTAATCATCGACGAATACCCTTTAAGATGATGAATTGGAAGCCGAAAATTGATTTTAACATTAATAGAATTAACGGGAGTACCACGGGGTTATGCAAGCCTAGGACGAAATACGAACAGTAAATATCTGAGTATTTGGGATTAAAACAAATGAACGAATAAAACATAATTCTGCCCATAATCAAACAATAACTTCATGCATAATTCCGACTTCGAATTCTTGGGCGGCCGACGTTATTGGGAATGGATATTTGGAAGTTTAGGGATTTAGAGATTATGTTTAGAAATTTGGAGGGTTTAGGATTACGATAAAGATAATGGTTGGTCAGTAGATAAGTTGTGACATGGGTGGGTGACTATTCGGCGGTGGCAAAACAATATTAGTGACCAAGGATGATTGATAATATTGATTTGAAATTAAGGATTTTAAGATTCTTTTTTAATTTTAGAGAAATTTGGAGTTTATTTTGGAGATATATATATATATATATATATTTATATATATATATATAATTTTAAGTTATTCAAAAAATAAAAGTTTATAAATGTTACACGTGTTAGATAACGATTTTTTTTAACTCTTGTTACGGCTTAGGCACTTAAAAGAGTAACGTCAAATACATTATACACATATTTTGAACAAAAAATACTTTAGACATCCAAAATTTACAAATATTATACTTAATTTCACACCTCTTGACATGTTGATTTATGCTTTAATCAACATGTCACACCCCAATTTAGGGGTCAAATTATAAGATTTTGAAATATAATGGTTATTGTGTAAACTTGATGTTAATTGAGGAACCCAACCCCGAATTAAACCATTTTTTATTGGGTTAGTTCAACTCGATTATTTTCCTCCCGGTTCGTGTTTCAGAGAGGGATAGCAAAATCCCTTAAT